CAGCAGCAAGCAGTGCAGCAGCCCCTAAAGGAGTTACTGCTGCTGCTGCAGCTACTGTTCTGCTGCCTGCGGTGCCCGACTGGCCCCTGTACAAATACTGTCGCCGCCATGACTAGGAAGAGAGGGAGTAAACCTCTGACCTGCATGCAGCACAGCTCGCCAGCGGGGCCTCTCTTCTGGGGCTGCAGCAGCAAGCGCTGTCTGCGCCTGCAGGAATATCGCCTCTACTGCCTCCAGGACTTGTAGGGAGTTGTTGCTGATGCAGCTCGCGAGACACGGCAGCCTGCGGTCCTCTGGCAGGGCAATCCTGAAGCGCAGATGAAGCAGAGCTCACAAAACACCCTAAACCCTCATTCTAAACCACAAAACCTAAACCCTAGATTCATCCTTCACACGTACCGCTTGGTGCATAACTCCTCAGGGAGTAAGACAAGCAACTCCAACAGAGGTAAAAAACCCTCCTTTCCTGCTTTCTGGCCAAGCGTCTGCAGCACAGGACCCAGCTGGAGGCCCCCACCCACAGCACCGGGGCCCCCTATGGGGGCCCCTTCTGTGGCAGAGGCACCGAAGATGAGCGCTGCCGAGAGGGCGATACACAACTGACGCAGCGCAGGTAAGGGGGCATCTCTGAAGGCAAACACGAGCTGCAGCAAGCCATCCCGTAGCTCCGCATACACCTGAGATGCACCCCCTACTGGAGTACCACCCCCAGCTGCAGCTGAGACAGCTGAAGCCCCCGGCAGCCGCAAGAGAGCCGAGAGCTGCTGTGGGAAGCCTGCCCGTGCCTGCGCAGCCAGGGTTTGGGCAACGAAGTGAAGAACCTCGGGGGATCGGTTCCCGGGTGCAAGTAGCTGCTGCTGCTGCTGCTGCTGCTGCTGGGGATGACTGTTCTTATTCAGAATGGAGATGCAAATGCCCCAGGCGCTCGGATCCTTCTGGAAGTTTGTGAGGTATTCGTTGGCTGCGCTAGTTGTTGCTCCCCCTTCTCTGGCAGCAGAAGGGGAGTTGAGGCGACACACCATCTCCACTACCCCCTCCTCTGTGTACGTGTGAGCACTCCCGTTGGGCTGGACAGCCATACTACTAGGTCCAGTAGCTGCAGCGCTGTTGGCTGACTGCGCTGCTTGAGGGGGCGCAGGCGGCGCCTGCACGGCGCCATTAGAGTCCATCATGCCGTCGAAGGTATCTCAAGAGACAGTTGCAGCAACAGCCGAAACCAAAGGGAGAGGCCGTGGGATTGCCCAGCGGGGCTGGTGCAATCGCTCCCGACGTTACTGCCGGTCCAAGGCAAACACAGGTATGTTAGGCGCTGCGGAAGCAAAGGATAACAAAAACCCTATTCACAGAAGCAAGCCAAGGGTTAAAGCTCCAATAAGACCAATACAAAAAAAGACACAAGCGCACCGTGTTGAATGGGGCCTCACAAGGGCTGCCTTTCTGCGCCACCTAGCTGGAGGCTCCCGAAAGCAAAATGTGTCTGAGCATTTCGTCTCAGCAAAATTTAGATCTTCCAACCACCTTTAAATAAAATATTGAGTGAGAAAAAATTATATTAACTTTTCAACATGAGGACGCCCGAATCCGTCCAACAGCCTTCGTGAGACGGTCACTGGCGGCAAAGAATCGAACCAATCTGAGGAAAAACTACACATAGAAGGTTTTTTCTATTCTATTTCCTCGGTGAATGCTACAACTGATAAAAACAATGCAAACAATACAACAAGTGAAAATTGTTGTGCCAATTCACAACAGCCACCTATGGGAATCGAACCCACGACCTTCAGTTTACAAGACTGACGCTCTACCACTAAGCTAAGGAGNCCACCTATGGGAATCGAACCCACGACCTTCAGTTTACAAGACTGACGCTCTACCACTAAGCTAAGGAGGCCTGTTCGACGCCTCCAGGATAATGGTGATATCTTAATATTGAAAGAGCGTAGGATTCCTGCTATTACGTTTGTCTTGCACCCACGGGTAAATTCTGCTCCCTAATACTTATGGATGAGCAAATTGCCGCGGCGTAAGTGACAACCTCATCTCAAGTTCGATTGCGTCTATAAACGTTCGCTAAGTTGCTTACAACGCCAAAATAATCATTTTGGGGCGTTGCACATAGGCCCTACCCTTCTGGGATTCGGGTGCAGTGAGCATCAAATTCCAGTTTCTACCTGGTACAGTTCCTCCTAGTCGCTGTAATAGGCTCTTCCTCTTACGCATAACAGGCCTGCGTCTCCGCTGGCCGAGGAGAGCTTCAAAACACAATATCATATGTACATATTTGCAACCATGAGTCGTTTTCCCAGTGCCCCTCTCGGGCGCAGGTTCTCGAAACCATTTGCCTCCAGCAACGGCATCAGCGTACGGCGAGTATNAGTGCCCCTCTCGGGCGCAGGTTCTCGAAACCATTTGCCTCCAGCAACGGCATCAGCGTACGGCGAGTATCAGCAATTACCACTTCAAAACACCCAAACCTCATGAACATATGTTTGCCAGTAAATTGTCTTGCGAGTGTGAATCAAACACAAGAGACAATTTACCCAAATCAGTATAATCACTGCGTCGCAAAGAACGGTAATTACCACAAAAGCAAAGTATCGATGCGAGTTCAACGCATTTGGACAGCAGCATTTGACCTTATATCATCAAAACAAAAGCGGACATCAGTGCTTAATGAAAATGCTGCAAGGTATTCCCTCCATCGCCTAAAGCGCAAGCAGCTTACACCTGCGACCCGTCTGCACGCTGGGAACGAGACCACCCACATTCAGGAACGCGGCAATTCCGGGAGATCACCGCTATTCACAAATGCATAAGGCGCCAAACTCCAGCGGACCAGTTAACCGGTATGTCTGGGTCGCGTGTCTGCTTGTGGAAGTGACCCTTGGTCCGAATCGTCTAGAGGTTAGGACAACACGTTGTGGCCGTNAGGTTAGGACAACACGTTGTGGCCGTGTAAACCCAGGTTCAATTCCTGGTTCGGACACTTTTTCGCAAAGGACAGGATTGGTTTTGGCCTAGTTCAGTGTTCAGTGCAGGCCAAACCACTTGCTGGTCCCGACCAGTGTGCCCTGCACCAGGGGTTGTCGTGTTCGTGCCAGTTGTTCGGCATGTTATTGTGCCACTGTT